AAAAGTTTGGGGAGAAGAGTGTAACTGAACTCGTTTGAGAGCAATTGATTGATTATGTGTTACCCGGCTGTATAAGTTTATGAAAGGTGAATCATGCCATTCAGAGTTACACAACTGCTTGGACGAAGTCACTACAAAGTTAGGTGAAGAAAAAACAGTGGTGTGTTTCCTGATTGTTGGTAAAGTCATGGATTCGGTTCAATATCGCCTGCTGATGTAAAAGCTATGGGACTGGAATTGGGATCGCTAACTAAAAAATATGGCCAACCAGTCTTCTATCAGACATAACAGCGCAGGGTGACAACTAGAATCCCTCAAGGGTGAGTATTGGGGCTCGTACTATTCCTTCTCCATTTAACTGACCTTCTGATAGTTTTAATACTGCCGGATTTTCTTTATTCCGAATACAGAAAGACAATACCATCCGATAGGCTAGAAGAGTTTGCACGACAACTCATAAATTACTGGAGAGGACAAATAAGTGGGCTTTGTTTCTTAATGGACAGAAAAACCACTGTTGCGTTTCGTACAACACAAGAAACAAGGGACCTAGGTGCGATTACGACTGTGGACTTCAAGTGGATCGAGCAATGTGAACTGGTTGCCGAAAAAGCTATAAAAAAGGTTTGTATACTGAGGTCTGTAAGTTCATGTAGAAAACTGTAAGTCCTTTTTGCCTCCACCATTGATACAATGCGTCCCGCCCCCTCTGTAGTATGGCGTGCAAATATGTTCACCCTTCACAAAACGGATGCTTCCCCTTTGGAGAAGTTTCAAAGACAAAATAGGGAAAATCGATCAATAAAGACTTGAAGATATGGAGGTTTCGCTCTATGCCTTCCGCAAATCAAGAATTCCAGTTTCCTTTCTAATTGTCACGTCATCACTTTAAATTCTCTCACTAGCATTTCAAGTTGTTTCGACATTAAATCAAAGTATCCATATATGACGTTAACTTCTACAGAATTACCGGGTTCGTGTTTGATACAGTTCTCGATATCTAGCTGATTACCATTAAGTGTACAGGTAGGGGAGTGGATGAAATTGGGAAAGAAGACGTGGTGACTTTCCTCGATCTCATGAGCCCCAATTCCCATAACCGTTTGCTTTGCGCGCAAGTCTATGGATCTATATTAATGACGTTCTTCTCATCCTTCCTCTGCATAATCACATCGCGCCCTATTCCGGTGACACTAATAATTCATACTCGATCGATATATGAGTCATTGCTATCCACATTCACATCCAGCTGGTGTACTGCTTGTATATTATATTCCGTTTCTTCACTGTCATTATACAAGCACCTATACAATTTCTACCCTCCAAATACTAAATAGTAAACATGACAGTTTTAAACTTATATCCTTAAAGATAAAAGATATTTCCATAACTAACTAACTGGATTTAAAAAGGTGTATTGAGGGTTAAAAATTACTTTGCGTTTTTGCAATCTAATAAACTTTGGTTTCAACAGATATAATCGTCAAAATTGCAGTTTTCGGAGTATATATTCTGAACCTACTAATGCATAATGCTGGAATTACCACATGTTCCTATTGAACTCATTGCCCACTGGATGTGTGCAAAATCAGCCTCGTGACATGTTCCTACATTAAAATACACAAGGTCGACTGATGCGGAAATGTGACATTCACCCATAGTTTGTAAGAAGTGGTTTCGTCTCGCTTTCTTCCTCCCTCCAACTACTCGAATTTGATCTGTCCCAGATAACTGCACAGTTATTCTGATGCAGAAGTAAAATGCGTAAAACTTCACACTAGATACATATGATTATCGCACGTTGCTTTCGCCTTCCGATAAAAACCGAAACATTGAAGATTGATTCCTCTGGTAGAGTCAGGTGATTGCGAGTTTCTTACGTGAAAGCCATGATGAAGTGCTTTTTGTAAAGGAGTGTGCTTGTTCACACAATGTCTGTAACAAATCGGAGCAATGAATGTGACTATGTTGAGCATATTTTCCAAGTTTTGTTTTTTATGTCCCGAATTCGTGGTCGAACTCCAATTCTTCCCAAATCTGAATCTGAATATGGTTTTATAGTTCGTCGCATGACTTTCGTAATCGATAAAGAAAATGTGTTTCGTGTACAGTGAATGCTCTTGGTATATACTGTTTTCTGAAGACAAATCCATCTATGCGTAGCTACCATGCATCCGTTTTCGATTTCGGGAATTAATAAACGTGATTTGAGCCGCATAGCTGAACTGCAGTTTACCGCCTAAGTGCCAGCACCGTACTCCGCCTCTCGCAGTCTCACAATCCATTAAACCCGATTTGCTTATACTGGTGCCTACAATAACAGAAGCACAAGATCACTCAAAACTCGACGTGTCGGTTCTGTTAGACATTCCGCCGAATCTGACCTTACGAAGTTGAGTTGCTTCAGAAACTGTGTATAACGCGAAACTATACCTTACAGCGTTACTGTGTTTTGTCTACCGTGCTTCTTGGTTGTATCCAATCTTCACCTTGCTGATCATAAAACCAATTCAACAAAACAGTGTCCGAAAACAAGATATGCTCGGAAGAAATTACAGAAATTTTCAGAGTTGTGTGCTACGAAGCTTTCTCTGTATGGCTTCAAATCCGACATAGGATACCGTGGTACCTTGGTGGAAATGTTGAACAGGCAGTATGATCTTGGAGAGGAGATGTGATTCCAGAAAAATATGATGTTCCAGTCTTTTGTCATCATTGGCTTCTGAAACGATAAACCATCACGTAATTCGCGTACTCCTTTGGTCCGGAATCTTGGGATATTTCGGATTGCCTTGCATCCATTTCCTCTTTGTCCCATATAGACCGGAAATTGCACAATTGTGCTGCTGGTTTTCTTAACTCTGTGACTGCGTAAATAAACTGGATAATTACTGTCGGAGATTCGAAATGGTGGTAATTTCCGTAAACGCCCCATGATACTCTTCGTATGAAGGGGCTGTGCCAAGAGCACTAGGGAAAAAGACTGTTTCCGACTCATCTGCGTCTGCTTTGGCCACTCCGGCTGCAGAATTTGTGACAAATATTGACCAAATGTGTCCATCGTTGCGCAGTAGATTGATGCACTTAAAACCAGCGAGCATTGAGTTACTCACACGGAGCAAGCAAAACAATTCGAATTCATAGGCCATATCGATCGGTAGACGACTATCAACGTCCTGGGAAAGATTAGCATAACAGACGAGCGTGGGTGACGCATAGCCCGAGTATGCTTGATCGATTAGCGTAATGTAGAGAGCGAAATAAAAGGATGATCGTTAGGTTTGTTGATATATCTTTAAAATATCTCGTAACTTATTGATTCAGATAGATGTATGCACTAAATAAAGATACATGATTTTTATTCTTGGACTCAGTGAAAAAATGTAACTCACAAACCACAGAGAGAATATACATTATTGATGGACAGTCACAGATAATGAAAACTGCTTAGTAAGGTAAAGATTATCCAACCCACTGCAACACAGCTATACATCTTCAATGCATGCAAGTCACAAGAGTTATAAGGAAAGTTTTCCTGTATGGAAGTTCCTCTTGTTTTTTCCATTATCGAAATCTGAAGCCGGTAACTCAATAGTGCTGTTCAAAAGACATGATTATAACCGCTATGCTGTATGTACAGACGGTATCCTGTTGAAATAAACTCCATTATGCGTGACATCAAGGAAAATGTTGTACTAAACAGGCTTGACAAGTGGTTGCGCAAACCACAGAAGTCCAATTGCTGTTCAAGTTAACAACTGTGTTCAATAACCCATAATCATGCCGTTACTGTTTATATGAGGGGGAAAATCCTAAGGGTTCGGACGGGAACAATAAAATGTGAGGAATCGTTCACTTCGTGTATGCGTGTCTGTGTGTGTGTGTGTTGCACACCGCATTCTCAGATCTGTGCCTCTGGGGTTTGTAGTTACGTCACGACGGTCTTACTGATAATGAAATTAATTTGGGGATACCCACAGAAGTGCTACGAGAGCTTTTATTTCAGTGTACATATAACGTTCAATTTCTTTTCAGCGGAACAGTGTACCGAGAAAAGGACGGAGTAGCAATGGGATCACCACTAGGACCCCTTTTGGCTGATTTTTTCATGGCGATGCTGGAGAATAACCAATTGAAAGGCACCGTTACTAGTCTTCATAAATATTGTCGGTATGTAGACGACATATTTTGCATAACTGATTCAAACTGCGAACTGGATCAACTACTAGAAAAGTTCAACTCCGCACACGGGGCCATAAAATTTACAAAAGAGGTAGAAGCAGATGATCGAACACCGTTTCCAGATGTACTCTTCATTAGAAGGAGTGATGGATCTATACAACACCGTGTGTACCGTAAGAAAACTTGGATTGGCCAATACACGATTTTTTACAGTTATGTCTCAATGAAGCTGGAGAGGAATTTGATAAAATGTTTGGTATCTAGAGCTCGGAGAATCTGCTCACAAGAAGTATTGGAAGATGAAGTTTGTCTCCGTGCTCAGAAGCAATGGCTACTCCGATCGCTTCATTCAACAAAATATGATGGAACAGGTACCAAAAGTACACACTGATAGGGTGGAAAAGAAGGACCTCATCATTAGTCTACCTCTTAAGGATGAAGTTGCCGCTGAAACCCTAATAAGACGACTGAATGGAGCGGTGAAAACCAGATTCAACGCCGCGCACCTACGCTGCTCTTTCAAAAGTTCGCCACTGATAACCATACGGAATAAAGATAAACTATCCATGCTGACCGCTTCAATGATTGTTTAGTCGTTCAGACGTTCAGACTCTACATCGGTCGTGCGGCACGGCAGTTAACTATCCGCATGGAAGAACACCATTCGTGCTGGCTGAGTCAAGGTGGTTCCGGATCTATCACAAGTGCGATTCTCGCTCATTTGGTAGACACTGGTCAACCCAAGAGAAGCTTTCCGCATTATTTATCAGGTCCATTCGAACCGGTCCCAATAAGTTAGAATGCGTACGTTGGCCATATAAGAGGCTATCTGTATTAAGCATTTGACCCCTGAAATTTGGGCCCAGAAACGTCTTATCCAAGCTCTCCATCTCCCCCGAAGGGTTCGCGAACTTACTCCTCCCCCATGCTCTCCCCCCTGCCCGCACACACACACAAACATTCTCACACACAACAACACCGATCCCTCAGAACTGGGTCACACAGTCGTCGTAACATAACTGCAATCCCCGGAGGCACAAATCTGAGAATGCGGTGTACAACACAC